TTAAACATGTGGCGTGGCATATTATATATCCCCTGTCCTAGTCTCTATGGCGACGTGCCTACGTGAGCAGCCCCCTTTTCACCAGAGTGCAAAGAGAAGACTACATATACTCTCTTCTGAAATATTTGGGTATCATTACGAGAAGCGTCAAGTTGGACAAACTCTCCTTTCCAAAGCAGAAAACACTCTGCTTTATCAAAGTGACTAAATGGGCGGTAACTTAAAACTAGTGTCATAAACTACAGCAGAGACTAAGTAGTGTTGAATCTTGAGGAAAAGCAATCAGTGTGTATTATTGCACTGCGCTGCTCTCTCTGTTGGTCCTGCCACACTGTTTTCCTGCTCTACCAGATTGCATTAAACAGCAATATGCACTGTCCATCCCAGATCTCTTTAAATACTCCTGTTCAGGACTTGATGAAAAGCTTACAAATACCACTTAATTCATGGGCAGTTCTTTTTAATACCATAAAACCAGGAAGCTTTTGAAAGGCTATTATTATGATAGACATTATACATGTGACCGGGGCTTGAATTTGGACCGAAGCTGGCAATGCAGTACAATAGTTTCTTATGTTAAAATAAACGATAGATATAGATAGTGTAGAGAGAAAAGAAGTGAACAGAAAAAAAAATTGATCAAGGAGTGTACAATCAAATATTTCTTATCAATAGTCTGTTAAAATAAAAGCAGATACTAGAACATTAAAATAAGTTTTTCATTTATTATACTGCAGTTAATTCTAAAAGCATTACTTACTTTTTTTTTAGTACCAGGGCCTGGAGGTCAGGACTTACTTTGTCTTTAAATTTTAAGGAAAGAATAAAGGGATCCACAAGCCTGTAGTTGGCAGACCCTGTTGACAAGGATGTAATGCTTTTCACTGTAAATCTCATCTACAGGTTGTAACTTTCTTTCCCAACTCACATTTAGTGAAGAAAGAATTGGACTGACACTGTGCTAAAACCTTTCCAATCACCCACACATAATTGGGATGTTTAATTAAGTGACGTGCTTAATATGCAAACCCAACAGATTCAGAAATGCTCCAGCTGAACTAAATTATAAAAAGACGGTGTGCTTATTATATCAAATAAAAATTTTGGTTCATTCCCATGACTCTTACAATAAAGATTTAGGGTCATTTGAGGGGAAGCAGTGGTCTTCACACTATCTCTTAATGACTTTCTGACCCTTTCAATGAGGCGCACTTACAAGTTTAATGTAAACACATTCATCATTTTTCTTAAAATCTAAAGTCATCACCTACCTATTCTAAGACAATGTCTTCATGCTTTTGACTTTTACTGTTTTGACTCATTTCAGGTTCTAGAATTTTCGCTACTTTTTCACAATAGATAGCCCTATCTTTTCATGCACATACCCAGTACTTCTCCGTGCACAGAGCGGCACACCAGATTTGTGCTTAATTCACCTAATGAGAAAATAAATAGAGTAAATGAACCCTTACCTGATGCATTGTTGTAGGGACTTTCACATTTGTCAGTTTAGTAAATACCAAGAGAGAAAAAAAAATCTCCCAAGCAGTGCTGGCTGTGTTTCCTTCTTTCACTTGTAAAGATTTTAATAGGTAGACTACGGTTTTCACTAGCACACCCACTGAACTCCAGCTATTCCTTCTGATTTCATTTGGTAGATGCATAATATATCCTGTTTTCTTAGACCCAGCCATGCTTTTATTTGACTTCTCAGCAGAAAGTACCTGAGGTAAGTTCTCCTTCCCCGCCTCTATCACACATCTAAATTGGGGCCCCTCATTAAAACATTTGCATGAATAAAATAATATATCTAGTGGAAAATATTTTCTTAAGCTTGATACCTAACTTGCTTAGGTACATATATTTTACAAAGTTATCCATAGAACTTCAAATCTGATGCCGGTTTTGCCTGTTAACCTCCAAATAAGTAGCATAATCTCAAAAAAAATCTGTTTACTCAGTTCATCTCTATTCATCTTTCTCCATGAATTCCTACAATAGCTCATAGTAGCAAAGAAATGAAATGGAACAGTAACAAGAGTGATAAAGGAGGAATAAAAGAAATGTGTCCCCAAAACAGCACACTTAAAAGTGGAGAATTTCTGCATCTTGGAAATTATTAATTTCTAAGCAAGACAAGCCGAGTAGTCTACATCTACCATATAACTATCATTCATTGTAAGAAAAACGAACTTTCTATTTGTCAAAATAATTTAAATTTTTAGCAGTCTCAAATGTCTCATTCTGGATGAGCTTATGTATCTGGGTTCAGAGACAATAGTATTGGCATACCTGTAATGTTCGAAACCCCTCAGAAGGGCACCTGTGCTCTCCTCCACATAATTCACTGGAATTTGAGTTTTTATATGTGTCTTTCTGAAGTGGAATGTTCGGTTAGCTGCGTGTTAGCTGGCTTATCCATCTGCATAGCTTTGTGTCTGCAGAGTATCAGTTTTAGATGGCAGTTTCCTAGCAGGTGGGCCACAATCTCCTGAAAACCTGCAGGATGTCACATACGTGTGATTGACGTGATTTTAGGGTGGCAGTGATGTTGTTGTTTTCATGTCATAAACTTGATTGTAAGGGAAATACAAACCATTTAAGACTAAAAAACAATTCATCCAACTATAATGAAAGGGAAAATGAACTCTAAAGCATGTAAAGGTAGAAAACTTGCTTACAATTGTCTGTACACCAAATCAGTCACAGTAGCAGCAAGCTGTAGGGTAACATATTTTGTATGTGCTGAGACCTGACTGTAAACTTGAAGTGTGTTATTGGATGCCTTCATTCATAAAGCTTCCCTTATACAGTGCATTTGTTACCAATTACACACAAGTACTCTTACTTGTAGATATAGAGACAATTAAGTGGAAACACTCCACTAAAAAGCGATAAGGGTCTGCTGTTGGGTGAGAGATGTATGGCAAGTTTTTCATCACATACTAGGCTTCATGGAAGGTCCGTATCTACATGTATATATCTGTATGTTCATGTATACCTATCTACATATATGTAATATCTATCTACCTACCTATTTTTCTAGATTGGCAGCCATTTTAAAGTTTAACATGTATGTCTTTCCCTGTCCCGTCATTCAGTTTGACTCCTTGTTATTTGGAGACAGTATGAGGTAATGATTATTAGAAGAAAAGGCATTTTTGTAGAGAGATCATTTTTTTCCAAAATGTTGGTTTTAGCCATTCTATTGTTTATCAAAGAACAAACAACTAAGTAAACTGACCATTGAGTGTTTAAACAACTGAACACTTGGGCAACCTGTTGCGTGAATTGATTTTACAGCATATATTCCAGAAAGTATTTTATTATGATAAATTCAACTATAATAACCTACAGGTATGTCAGTGTGTTCTTTAACAATCCAGAAATATTTTTGAAAATCACTTTTGAGTTTCTTTCTGTTATAATATGATTCTTTTTCTTCCTTTTACAAAATTAGATCTAATTACTTCATGATTCCAGTTATCAACATGGGGTAGAAAAGACATAACACTTTCTTAGTATTAAATATGAAGGTTTTTTTCTTGAGAGAGGAGTTAATCCACCCTGAATTTTTTTCTTCTAACTTCTTTTTCATTACTAATTTCTCTTTTCTTTAGAACATAAAGTGCCAGACCTGAAAACTTTGAATTGCATTAAAAATAACTATTAAAATAAATCGTGAGCCATGTCTGTTAATCTTTTTTCTATTTTCAGACATGTTTTCCCAAGAATTTGTCCTAAAGCAGTATTTATATAAATACTTGCTTTTATTTACAGTAAAAGCAAATTGTTTTTTCTAGGAAAGAAAGTGATTGCTTTTTCTAAGTTTACAAACTTGGCAAATTGACCAGTTTGATTACATGCTGGTTAGTACTACAAGCCATGCCTTCAAACAGTGTGACTGCCGCGGAACCTAGCGTTTACCCCAGGCTTGCATGTAAGGCTTTCCTGTTTACCTCTTGCCATCTTTTTCTATCTCCCCACACCCTTCTTCTCTTTCCCTAGGACTTTCTTCCTAGCTTTCCCTTACTCTGTATTTTCCTTGCTTCCCCTTTCTCTTCTGTTTCTTTCTCTCACTCCTTATTTCCTTTTCTTTTTGGACTCTTTTAATTCTCAGGCCCTTGAAGAGAGAAGAGATAGTAGAAATGTTAAGCAAAATATTTTTTGTTTCAGTTTAATGAGTAACCTTTGAGTAATCTTTAGGTTTCTGGACTTCCTGGTGTAAGTTTAGTTAGCTTGAAATAAGAAAATGTCTGAAGAAGAAGCTAGAATACTAGGCTATGATTCCTTCTTTGAGAGGACGTATCTACGTAGCTATATATCTCCTGTATGAGTTACTGCATGTACTCATGTAATAATATGTATTAGATGTATTTTTCTAGTACTATTATATTTTACGTATACATGAAAGGTTGTTCAGTTAAGTTCGCAAACTTTCCCCCGTGTAAGTGCACGTGGAAAGTTCACAATCTTACTTGTCTGGCAGTAACATTTTGAAGATGGTGATTATGTTTTATGATTAAGTACACTCTACATACGTTCTTTTTACTAGCTTTGATAACAGATATTTATAGGTATATTATTTCCAATTCTTCAATCTTTATTATTTATTTTAATCATACCTTTAAACCATTTAAAAAAGTTTTTCATTTATTGCACTGACATAGATATTATCAATTATGAAGTATTGAGAACAGTGACTTGTAATTGTTTATTTGTAACTATGCTGGTCGAAGCTCAGGCATCTTTGCATAATACACAGAGGTGTGGAACATAAAGTCTGATGAACTCTGATGTATCTGGAAAGCTAGTGTCTAAATACTGTGGCACTTTAATATAATTATTGAGTAGTTAAATCATGTAACAAACATTACATAGAATTACTGGTCGTCATTGCTGAGGAATGACTAGAGATGACATGCAGCTGTGAGGCATGCTGACAGACACCGATGATGACCTTGCTCTCCCTCTCTTCCCCCCACCCTCACCCCATCAAGGTGCCCGTGTCTGTGGCCATGATGACCCCCCAGGTGATCACCCCCCAGCAAATGCAGCAGATCCTCCAGCAGCAAGTCCTGTCTCCCCAGCAGCTCCAGGCCCTTCTCCAGCAGCAGCAGGCAGTAATGCTGCAGCAGGTAATGTGGGTTACCTGCTTTGGTGTGCTAGCATGGTGGTAGGTAGGCACCCACGCTGACAGCATCATGGACACATGGGACAACTCATTCTCCACTTGAAGGGACAACCTATCAGCATATTAGCACATAAATGTAGTGTTTTAATTGCAGAGCTACATAAGACAATTGAGATCCCTTGGTCTTTTTAGATTGATTAAAGCCTAGAATAAGAGCAGAGAAAGGTGTAATTTCAACATGGAATAAATCAAATTTAAATATCTAAATGCTTAGGTACATTTGCTTTGTAGACTTGCCAGTAAAAGTGCAAAGAGACTTACAGATGATTATTGCTTTGAAAACTCCTAACACTTTAGCAATTTTTTTAGTTCATGTGAATATGAAATTTGAAATGACCATTTTGTTACAATAGGGCAAGTACCATCCCAGATATTTTTTTCAAAAATATGGTCTGTGTTTAGGAAGAGAGGCATCTACTTTTTTAGAACAAAGTTAAACAGCTAAGCCATCAGTTCATGAAATTTATCTTAAAAAAAAACAAAAACACTAGTGGGTACATCATTGGAGCCTCAAGTGCATAAAGTGGACTTTATGTTATAAACTTACTTATTGTAGAGAAAATAATGTGTTTTACCTGAATCCTTACATATTGAATTAACTTTCCTATCTCCTATAATGATGACCCCAGGCCAGTTGCTGATGTTTCTGTCTGACATTTTTCTGTACGTCTGATGGATTAATTTTGTTTTCCAATAAGAACTAGACAACCTAATTCTACGTAGCAATGTATTTGGGTCTTGTAAATGGTAGAGTATAACCTATTTTTACATGCTATTGGGACTTGTGATGTAATAATTTAGGGTATTCATCTAGCTCTGGCCCTTTAGAATACAGAATTTTCTATACCCTTTTGTTTAGGATTTATTGGATTCTGGATTGGAAATGTTCAGCTGCCTTGGAAAGAAATGTGTGTAGGTCTGTCTTTCTCCTTGAATCCAGCGCATATTTTTTGTTGTTCTTATGAGGCGGATCTTAATGGATCCACTACCGTATGCCAGTCTAGAAGAGTTTAGGAGATTTGTAATACTTGAAACGTTTGCCTGTATTTATTAAAGTCAAAATGGTTTATTCAGCAACAACTACAAGAGTTTTACAAGAAACAGCAAGAGCAGTTACATCTTCAGCTTTTGCAGCAGCAGCAACAGCAGCAGCAGCAGCAACAGCAGCCGCCGCAGCCCCAGCCACAGCCGCCGCAGCCGCAGCCACAGCCGCAGCATCCTGGAAAGCAGGCCAAGGAGGTAGGCGCGGGGGGCGGGAGGCAGCGGGAGCGGGGCGGGGCGGGGCCTGCGCAGGGCGGCTCTCACCTGCCGGCGGAGCGCACTGGGGTTCTTTTACGCCGGCCTCAGTCACAGCGACAGTGGAACTCTCCTGCTCTCGTGTTTTGTAGCGTGGGACTTGAGAGTTCCAGTCCAGTGCTGCCGAATGGTCACTAATGAGTACAGTATGCAGAGAGCGAGCTGTGTGTGGACAAAGTCCTGGTTCTCTTGTATTCGCCAAGAATCCAAGTTGGTGAGGGAACCTCATTTTTCTCAGCGCTGCAGCTCAGAGAGCACGCATGCAAATTTGGCCTGCTGTCGGTGGGGGGTTAGGGGAGAAAGTGGGTGAGCACAGATTTCAAAGTCACAGGCCCCTGATTAATGAACTACTACTGTGGGTTTGGAGTGGCGAGTAGAAAGTTCCAGTTTGATATGCTCATAAATCAAACTGACAGGCCGGCTTCTCAGGCCTAGCTTGCAGTTGTCAGCAAGCTGCATCAAATACAAACAGAATGCAAACAAAACATGTTGAAGTAGTTAAATTGATCAGCAGGTATCAGAGCGTTGTCTTCAAGCTGCCCATTATGCAAACGTCCAGGAAACAGTTTTGACCTCCTGAGGCTTTGATTCTGTTTGGATTTGTGAATAGAATTTCAGACAGCCATCAACTACAGAATAGAAATTGCTCCCTTATTTCTCGGGAGGCTTTGGGCAGTCCACATGACTTGCTCCATTACGCAGTCTGTTTTCCAGTGAGCGCATCACAAGTTTCTCTTTTCCCCAAACTAAAAAGGAAAGGTCTTCTGCAGCAGCTTGCCTCTCTCTGAAGTGTGACTGCCTTCGCCTACCCTCCCGAGCCCGAAGGACTCGGATTTGTATTGTAATGCCTCACGAAATTGGAAGTTATGCTTTTGCTTATAATAAGGGCATTTTTTTTTTTGCCTTGAACATGATTCTGCCTTTAATATATTCCAACAAGAGAGAAGAGGAAGGGAGAGAGCTAACAGGCTGGTTTTAGGAAGGCTACGTCCTAGTTTACTAATAGATCACTGGAGACCACATTCGCAGACCACTGCAGACCAGACTTATTCAGTTGGGGAGAAAAAGTGTCGTTGAAGTTGACTGGATAAAGTGTTATTCTTTTAGTCTAGATGAATTCATTATTATCTGCAATAAGCTGATTTTTAAAAAAGTCTGAACCTTTGTAATAAACGTACCCTAGACCTTGTCTCATACTCTTAATGCAAGTTCTTTGGTTCTCTGCTGCTGTGTAACATTTGAAAGAAAGGCAACTCAAAATCTAGAACTTGCTCATGTCCTGCCCTTGAACTTTGACTGTGGGATGGCCATTCAGAAATTCACTGGGGCAATGCAAGGGGTGGACAGTGAGAGGGGTGAACGGTGAGAGGGGTGCAGAGTGAGAAGGGTGCATGGGAGCCTCTGTGTGGAGCGCATCCTCTGCTGCTGACCAGCTGGGTTTTCTGACACCAGCAGCAGCAGCAGCAGCAACAGCAGCAGCAACAGCAGCAGCAGCAGCTGGCGGCCCAGCAGCTTGTCTTCCAGCAGCAGCTTCTCCAGATGCAGCAACTCCAGCAGCAGCAACATCTGCTCAGCCTTCAGCGCCAGGGACTGATCTCCATCCCACCAGGCCAGGCGGCTCTTCCGGTCCAGTCGATGCCCCAAGGTACATACCAGATGTGGTGCACACTCATTTCTGATCCTGCACTCTCTACCGTTTCATGGCCTGGCTGCCTTGTACCTGGAGAAATTCTGTGTTGATGACCTTCACGTTTATTATTAAAACATTATTAACATGGTTGCATGAGACATTTTTTTGAAACTCAGAAATTTTACTACACCCTGCTTTCAAGTGTTTTGTTAGATATTAAATGTATACTTATTAGTCATATGGCAAAAATAATTTATAAGGGCAACACAATTCAAGCACTATTAAACATACAGTGAGATCTGCAGAGAATTGTGTTAGTGGGAAGGCTAACAACACCCCATTTAACGTAAATGAGCTGATAGGAGTTTTGGCAGACAACTGATCAGAAAAAGATGGAAGTGCCTAATCTTTAAATTGAAGCCCCCATATAAAAATGAGGCTTTATGTATTCCTACAGATCATAATCCTACTTATGCTCTGTGGGATCCCATCATTGATTGATCCTATTTTCTCTAAAATAATATTGCCTATGCATGTATTATCAATTACAGCTTTAAAAAGCTGTCAGCTGTGTTCTTATTTGTTTTTCTGATAAATAAACTTTGCATGTACTTCGATAATACAATACTGTAAAACAATACAATACCATACAAGAAAGCAATAGTATGTATTTATCATTTGACACTTAAGTTCTGGGAAATGGAGAGTTCTAAGTTAAAAAAAGAAAAGAAAACCAATGGTAAACAAAATGACTCCTTGTACACTAAAATTCTCAATACAGATAGACATATTTCATCAAAGTTTGCAAAACCATATTCTGATTTGTATTTGGATTTTGTTAGAACAAACTTTAATCCAAATGAGCTTTATTTTGAGTTAATTACCTTTGTTACAGAGGGCCTCATGTAGTATGTGCTGTGCATTTTTCGGACTCTATAAGATACACTGAAGGAAATCAAGAACAATTAAACATACAAAAATTAAAATTAGGCAAATAAAATACACATGATCATTGTTTCTGCTACCTGAAATTAAAAATATTATGGTACATGTTTTTCCCTTTATCAAGTTACTGTCTTCTTGGCTTATTTTTCCCAGAATTCCCTCTTTCACTTGACTTTAGATCCTCTAATTCACCTGATTGAATCACTCCTAGGCAATCAAGAAAGACAAAGTTTAAATAGTGAAAGAAAAACAAGGCAATAAAACCCACTTTTCTGTGTCATTCCAAAGAGAATTGAAATAAACCATGGTGTCACCATAGCAATGAATGTTCTATTCACAAATTATTGTTCTTTAGAAAAGTAACAATAATTTGAGGACAAATGAAGAAATAACATTTAAAAAAGAAAGGAATTTATAAGTTAATTCAATGTAAACATATGTTTCTTTGGTAGAAAATTCTCTAAATACAGAAGCAAAAAATTTATCACACTGATTTTTTTTCAGAAAAATTTAAATGAAATATGTATTTAGGATCTAATTCAGTGAGAATCTCCTCATTGGAGAAGCATGAACTACCAGGATTTTGTTTGAGTAAAACCATTCAAACAAACATTTCAAGAGAGTTTAAAATAGATGTTCATAGAAACAAAATGTAACTTATTTTGAAATATATTTGTTAAACTACATTCTTCCAAAAAAGCATACAAATATCTGGGGACTGGGTGAAAAAGACGAAGGGATTAAGTACAAATCGGTAGTTACAAAATAGTCACAGGGGTGTAAAGTACAACAGAGGGAATAAAGTCAATAATATTGTAAAAACCTAGGTACTAGACTAATTGGGGGAATCACTTCATAAATTATATAAATGTCTAACAACTATGTTGTACACCTGAAACTAATATAAAATAATATTGAGTGTCAACCATAATTAAAAATAATAAAGTTAATGAGTGCAAAATAAACACACAAACAAATATCTTGCTGAACAAGGATATTTATTATAGTTATATTATGATATAACCATTCAAAGAGTTTTCAAATGAAAATCTCTCATTTCTGAGCTTTCTTTTGAGAGAATTATCTTTTTTTTCCCTTTTATTTATACTCTCTATAAGATGTATGAGAGGTAAAATGCACAGGATGGAGAACTTTGAGGAAAAGGAAATAAATCTGAAAACATCTGGTTTTAGCAGAAAATTTGTATTTTAAACAAAATGGAAGAGTCATCATCGTTTTTTGCACTGTTTAGATGCGAAGTGTAAAATGTGCCACCAGTCAAACAAATCAGGCAGAATGTGTTGGAAAAACCAGCTACAGTAAAGAAACTTGACTTCACAGTGCTGTGCTGGGATCCCAAAATTAGAGTGTGAGAATGTAAAGAAGCACTTGTTAGATAATGTAAGCCCTGAATCATTTCTGCCTTAGTTACTGGTTATTTCAGATAAAAAATGTATGTATTATAAATATTTTAATTATCAGTTTCCCAGTTCACTTTATACCAGGTTTTGGTTGGTTGATTAGCCACGAATAAAAGGCTTATGAAAACCAAGTAGGATTAATACCCAGTGATAATGTTTTCATTGTGTTCTTTAAAATATGCCATATTTGAAGTATTTATTCCCATGATTTAACACAGCTTCCTCAGGGTGCTTTTAAAGTTACAACGTTTTTAACTGTATAAAAAATATGTATATGATAATCAGATAAATTTGATAAGAGTAGGAGGTATACAGATGTTTTTCTCTGTATGGCAAAATGATATAATCATTTTATCATTTTAAAATAAATTATTTTAAATATGACATATTTAAAGTCATCATGAATATTACTATAATATTGATTTTAATGTAAAATAGGCAATTAAATTACCATGTTTAAGTATGTATGTAGAGTGACTTTAGGTACTATACAGAAATCAAATTAAGAAGGATGGATTTGTAAATCAATCTCAAATAAAATACTGAATATAAAGCAGTTTACTACATAGAAAGTATAGTTCATATATCCACTAGTAATTACTTAGAGACACATTTTCATGACCAGAACCATTGTCTACAGGGTGGAAATTAGGAAATTATTGTGCATGTACTTTAGACTTTGATGTTTTTGACATAAGATAGAAGTCAGCGTATCCCAATATACAATATATTTACAGGTTTACTATGACTATAGGGACTAAAATATATGTGGTAAAATCTACAATTTATTCCAACTTTTTGCATATTTTTGAACTTAGGAAAGGTATGTAAAACAGAACATTTCCATTACCGTCTGAAAGACCAAACAGGGAATAAGATATCGAGCCAGCACTATTTTGAACTAGCACTTTGTACAACTAGAAGAGCTTGGAATCAGAGAACTGTTGAATAATAAAGAAAATGAAATCTTTTGAAATAAAATCTAATAATGTCCTTTATGCTGAGTTAGGAATGTGCTAAAGTTTGTTGAAATCAGTATTAAGCCAAAATCAGTTATTTGGCTTTGACTTTAGTCTCTGCTTATGGAAATTGAAATAGCCAAATGCCTACTTCAACACCATTTTTGGCATACCTGAATTTTTGCTTCATCTGTGATCATGTGCTTTCATAGATCACCATCGTATGCTCAGGGTAACAGCACCAGTAATATGAACAATGCGTGTCATGCAGAATTATTGTTATCTCTTAGCACCCCCCTTCAAATATCAGTAAGTCTTCAATTTGTAACATGGAGGGAACATTTTCTTTGGGTTTTGCATGCTGAAACTCCATCAGTGAGCAGAAGTAAAAATGTACATTTATTGTTGCAGGAATAAAACTTTGCAAAGTTTGTGAATGCTGTTAATTTTATGTATTAAAACTAACATAAATAAATAAATACATAGGGAAATATTAAAAGTGTGTTGAGTTAGCTTTTGGTAAAATATTAAAAAGGTAGAAAGATAGAGATTAAATTATATCATAATTCTAATTGTTACAGAATTGTTTAGTGTGATAACATGCATACATGAAAATAGATTTAATTCCATTTAGGCCATAAGACTTAAAAAAGTTCTGTTTGTCAATTCTTTATATCTTCAGGGAAGACTAAAAAGCAGAATGTCAACTTCGCCACATTAAAATTTCATGATGAGGAAAACTGAGAGATACTGTTTTGTAGTAGAATATCAAACTTTCAAAATTCAGCCTGGTAGAATATCAAACTTTCAAAATTCAGCCTGGAAAAAATCTTAATATTAAAGTCATAGTAGGAATTTATTTTATATCAAATATATTCCCGTATCCCAGAAGTTCCTTCTTTGGTGGCGATATTTATCTTTGGTCTCAGTTTCGGCTAAATAGCAATTTTTATTCCCTGTAATTCAGCATTTGGGCAAAATGTGTAGTCAGCGCACCCCTCATTAAACATACATTTTAAAGATTGGCATTATACCTACAGGTTATAGTAGGCCCCTAGTCAGATATAAATCAATAATATGTTAGGTTTGGCACATTATATATGAACACATAGATCTCTGAAGGATAGCCCAGAAACTGGAATAATCGTTGCCTCCGGAGAGGAGAGCTGGGAACCTGGAGGTCAGGACTGGTAGGGAAATTTAATTTTGCAACATATACCCTCCTCTGTGATTTAATTATTCTGGCCATGTGTATATACTAGTTTTTCAAAATATAAAACTTAATATGAAAAGTAAAAATTACATGCTAATATTTCAAAAATTCAAATTACTGAATATCAAATTGGTTCAATAAAATATATGGATGCTATAAATACATCTACCAAAATTTGCTTTTAGTACTTTTAACTGTAAGCAACCCTAGAAAATAAGCAGAGTATTAGTAAAGAAGTTAATTAAAAATTCACAGTAGACTTATATCATAATACATAAAATGTTTTTATTTAATATAAAAAACTAATTAGTGGACATAGAAAATGAAAGGGCATTGAAAGAACGTTTTTATTTTTGAGTGTGACAGAGCTGCTAATGTAATTTTTACCAATAATTAAAACCATTGAAATTTTTAAACCTGTGTGCCCCGAGGATATGTAATCTAGATATGAATGATCAAATTTTAATTAATTCTTAGCACAGTGTTTGGCACCCAGTAGTTGCTCCACAAACTCTGACTCCAAGATTAAATAATTATTATTTAATTGCTTTATCTATGGCGTTATATGCAATTTGGTTAGGAATTCATCTCTTTATTCATTCAACTCCTGGAAAAACAAACGTTTTGATGCTGATTTGCAGTACTGGCAGTGAAGACGAACAAACCAAGTCATCATCAACAAGTAAAATAGCTTTCCTTAATTTGTGTGGTCATAGAATTTTTTAATTACATCATTATGAAATTTTTTAGCACTAGTATGTATATATCCTTGAAATAAGTGACTAAGAAAAATTGAATAATCTTCACTTAAGGTTTTAATCGACTGTTATTCCATGATAGTCTAGTCCGCTGATTCCCAGATTATGCTGGTCAGTACACTTGTGTTCTGGTCAGCTAAACAGGTCCTTTACGAGTAAGGAATATGCGTTAAGCTCGAACTCACTGCAGGTGCTCCCGGGTACTGGGTAGAAAACAGACAAAATTCTCTGCCAACACGAAGCTTACATGTTAGTGTAGAAGACAGACATTAAATAAAGTAAAATATAAAGTGATAAGTACTGAGGAGACAACTTTCAATTCAAGGATAGGAAGAAATAAAGCCCCAGTAAGACATGGGAGGAGTTGAACTTGTAGATGGCGGCCAGGGAAGTCCTGGGAAGTGGACGTGTGGGTGATGGCCTGAAACGTGAGGGGCCTCTGCCGTGTACGAGCTTTAGAGCAACTCATTTGACTTTTCTGGCCTCAGTATCCTCATCTCTAAACGGGGATAATAACAACAGCAGCGACAATAGATTAGTTACCATGTGAAGTGCTCAGAAAAGTGACCGGCATATCAGAAGCACTATATAGGTATCTGTTGAACACAAAAGAGACAAGAAACCTAGTAGAGAAGTGAGTTGGGATCCTGGGGAGCTGTATAAACAGGAGCTTAGTTTGCACTGGGAAGCTTTGAGAAATCTGTTAGGGTTATAAATAGGCAGACTGTTAACCAAGGGAGGGCTCTGGGCTGGCATCACTTGATGAATCCTAGGCCTGTGCCTAGTATTTAAGACTAAAATGAATTAGTGTAATTGCTGGAAGGGTTTGTTGTTATTTATTTTTTCCATCAAATATATTTGCAAAACACTGAGTTAAAAAAAAGAGACTCAAGTTTTCTTTGTTCCTAGACATCTTGAACCTGTTTTACATGCTAAAATGAATCAGAAGTGTCCCAGGCAGAGCCCACAGACCGCCTGGATCTCGTAGATTAACAGTATTTAGGAGACTACTACTGTTCCATAGAACACGGTAGGAGATACTGAACTTGTTATATTACTGCTGGAAAAATAAATTAATTCTTGCAAATCATCAATACTTCAAAACTCACAAAACTTTCAAAATTATAAAAAAAATTGATTGGCTAGTTGTTTCATATTCGTAGTTTTGTATCCATAGAAAAGAGCTAAGCAAATTGTAGATGTGAAAACATTGTCTCATGAGTAATGTGATAGTTGACTTTTAACAATTTTCCCCCAAATTATCTACATATTGGAATCATCATGGAAGTTCATCTGTAAAATATAATGGTTTCTAACTTGAGGTGAGGTTAATTGAGATTACGAATGTAAAGCACCAGGATAGATGCTCAATAAATGATAGCAATTATAATTACAGATGCAGTTCTCCTGTATATCTTTATTCAATCATTTTCATATTTTCAATATAATATTTTAACAGCAAAGGCATTCAAGTTAGGATTTAAATCACAGCTTTACTGCATATAAGATTTGTGACCTTGGATACTTTTGTGAATAATAAAAATATCAACTCTATTGGATTGCAGTAAGGATTAAAGAGCGTAAGATATATAAAGACTATCTGAAGGCACAGTACTTGGCACATATAAGTACTATTTTATTGGGTTGTCGGAAAAGCCATAATGTATTTTTTCTATGTTTTTCATTGCAAAAATGCGTCATGACGTTTCCCGACAACCCAATATAAGTCAAATGCTTTGACAATAGTCTCTCAATTCCTTGTTTGAAAATTATAGTTAAAAGCTAAAGGATTGTGTCTAGCTTTTTTATTTTCATGCTTCATAAATCAGGTAAAATTGCATAATCTGAACCAGGGAGTTGTTTGAAATGAGTAGTTGATTTATTCTATCTATCAGTCATAAAATGAAGAAGTTTAGATATTATCTGCTTAATTGATCCATGTAGTTAAGCATATTGGCTTTTTGAGGACCTCAAAAGGAAATCCAATTATTTCATTACCCTCTCTGAGAAATATCAAAATAACCAGATAGTTGTCAAATCGAGTTTTGTTTTGAGCTGAATGTTTCTTATATTTCTCTGACATTTTTGTTTGCTCTTCTTATTTCTTTTTTTCTTTTCATTTCTCTTGATATGTCTTATTTCCAAATCTATTTCTCTTTCACTTCCTCACTGATGAAACTTAATACTAGCAGTAAGTAAAACCTACTGTTAAAAGTTGAATGGTTTAATTTTCAGATAGAACTTGTTGGATTTTTCTATTAATCCTTGATATTATTCCAAACCCTATTATTCCCAGTATTATTTCCAAATTGGTAGTCTTTAGCAAGTAACTGATTAGTCAAGAGAAAAGCAATGATGCTGATGGTGTAAAGTGGCTTATTATTGTATATTAATTATGCTGGTAATATCACTTTTATTATCGGCCTCAATCCAGTAATATCTCTAATCTCATTATATGGACTTTGCCTTGTTATATTAGTGGGGCTTTCTCTCATTTTATAGCTGGCTTAAGTCCCGCTGAGATTCAGCAGTTGTGGAAAGAAGTGACTGGAGTTCACAGCATGGAAGACAACGGCATCAAACATGGAGGGCTGGACCTCACTACCAATAACTCCTCCTCGACTACCTCCTCCACCACGTCCAAAGCATCACCACCAATCCCCCATCATTCCATGGTGAATGGACAGTCTTCAGTTCTAAGTGCAAGGCGAGACAGGTAAATCTCCTGAGCTTTACTCTATATTGATCTATCGCCAAATTTTACTTTCACCATTGATAAAACTAAAAGTTATAATTTGTACTTAACAGAGGCAAAATGTGTAAAACAGCAAGTTAAATGGAAACCTTTATATTATTTATTGTATATATTATTTTTTTCATTACAAAAAGTAGTTCAAATACTAGCAGTTTGATGGGTATAGTGGGAATTTGCCTGAAGAAAGTTACTTTTCATAAGTGTGTGTGGAATTATTGTATCAATTATTTTATGAGGAAGATGTGATTAACCTGAACACTATGAGAACATTTTACCATTTTTTAACTTAGCCAGTTTTAAATAAAGATGCATATATATCCCCCTTAATATATCTTTTACACATGTGTTTAGAAATCAGAGCATATATATATATATATATATATATATATATATATATACACACACATATATATATACTCTCTATATATTATATCTGTCATATATCTATGATGGAATATATAAATATGGAATTTATAAATATATAAAAATAAATTTATGGTGGTAACTTTCTGAATAAATTTGCCTCAAAAATCCATAAATAAAAAAGTATTTGATGTCAGTTACCAACACTGAGTACATTATGTTAAATCGTTTTTTAACTCACTGTTTTATTTTAGTTGTGTACGGACTGCCTTTGTAGGAGAAGCACCCATGTACTTTTGTCCACTTAATTCCATTTATTCAGACATATGGCTACCTAATCAAGTCCTTGAAAGTCATTTACATGAAATATATAAACTAAAACATTTCTCAACATGAAAAATATTTTTTTAAAAGATGAAACATCAGTGTAGGATTTCTTAACAAAGTAGCTGAGGCTCATATGATACATATCTCTAAATTTCAAATTTAAGTGTAGTGGAATGATAGTGTTTTGGTATATGATGTGAGTATCTGCCTAGTTGCAACAAATTCTTTCTCATAAACAAAGCTTTTTTTCAAAGACATTTCATTACAGCACAGTTTAAAATAGAGTATTACAATTTGGTGATATTTCTGGTTTTCATTTGAGTATCATGAAAAATGCTTCTTGTTAGCTTGCATTATTATAAAATGGTACGTCTCTGAATGCTTTCACACTGTTGTTTTAATTGAAATTAATTTGATGATTATATATTTCAGAAGTTGGTTGATTTCTCTAGGCTCTCTCATCTGATATAATATCTACTTATCAAAAGTCATTAATAATTATAGAAGGATAGAGCTAATGAACACTGTTCCAAAGTGGGATTTTTTTAAATCAACTCTTACTAAATAGTAGAAATATATATAGTTCACACATATATATTAAACAATTTAAATGATCCTAAAGGTCCATATCTTCTCTTAAAGAGAGCATTTTAAAAATCATATTACTCTCTCAGAAATACAGGGGTTTTTTTTCACTTGACCACATATGAATATATATTTTTTATTTAGAGGTAAATGTTACATTAAGGTCATAAGGCAGGATTAGCATATGATATTATACAGTCCTCTTAGTTTTCATCCTTTATTAACAGTCATCTTTGGCTCTATTTCTCCTCTAATTGGAACATCATCTAGCCTTGGCAGTTGAACTATTCAATAGAACGATTAAATTTTTCTGACTGCTCTGAGCTGAATTGACCTGTTTTGACCTGTTTGTCACTGATCGTAACCTGACAGGCGCTAGCAGCCTGCAACGATTATGGCTTTTTGAGATGAATCTGATGCCATGTTCTTTTGCTACAGCTCGTCACACGAGGAGACTGGGGCCTCCCACACTCTCTATGGCCATGGAGTTTGCAAATGGCCAGGCTGTGAAAGCATTTGTGAAGATTTTGGACAGTTTTTAAAGTAGGTTTTTACGTCTTTTTAGGGGAGGGAGTGGAATATATTGGAGTTTTAGGCACGTTGTTGTAAATAAACCAAAGAAAGCTGAAGGTGGAAATTAAAGGTCCGTAGTAAGCCACAGTCTAAGTTTCCTGTGTGTTCCAACCAGTGTGTTAGCAAGGTCAGGCTAAGAAAGTCAACTCTTCATCTTTACTTTTTCATGAGCGTATTTACAAATCATTCAATGCAGCTTTTTGAATGAGTGAAAACTATTAGCCTACTGTAAGAGTGTGATTAAAAATTGGGAGATATGTTTGCAAGGTTCACTTAAATTTCAAGTTTTCAATACAAATTTGAAGTAAAATTATATGAAGAGTCATACTATATATTTTAAAAGATACAGTTTGCAGGTTTACTTTTTAAAATTGCAGACTTTATATTCCTTAGTATAAATAATGCTATTTAAAATGCATGTTTAACTAGAATAGACAAATCAAAGTTGATAGAAGCTCAAGTTTTAAGATAACTATATCTCATCCATGCTGATACTTGGTGCCCTCAGAATCCTAAGGAAACATACATGACTGTATGTTTGTATGATAGATTATATGACTTCTCTTGCTTAAAATCAAATCTTGGTCTAGCCTTAATTTTTTCACACAATGACAGTTGTTTTTTTTAATTTTTAAGAAGTTCTTTTTCAAATGAGAATATGCATTCTTTCATGAAACATTTTCCACGCTCAATTCCAGCGTACAAGAGATATAAACACAGAGCTACAGATAGGTTTATGGAGATAAGTAACTTCACAGGCTGAGACTCTTATGTTGTCATGGAGCAGCTAACAGGGTGAATGAACTCTTTCATGCTTCATCAACAATTAAGTTAATTAGCTCATTTGAAATTGCACTGCTTTGTTGCCAGGATGTTGGCAGAAACATCAAAAAGGTGTGTTTACAAATGGTAGACTACAGGGTAGAGAGCAAAAGCACCTTAACAACAAGGCACAAGTACTTGGCATCATAATAACTTCATCAATAATTACAGTTAAAAAAAAAAGGAGTTTTTTTTAACCTTTTCTTGTTCCTGACCAATTAAAAGAAAATTCACTTTCTATATTACTATGGTTTTTTTTTTAAACAACCTGAAATGAAACTGTGCACTCCTATTATACCAAAACAGTTGTAAGCTACCATTTTGTTTAGTATGAAGCTTATTCAACTGTTCTAAGCAAAGAGAGCATTTAAAATGTTAGGTAACTTTTCTGAAGTTTTCCTCTCGAGGAAAAATCACATTTGTTAAAACAAAGACAGAATATAAGGATATTAATTCTTTGAACACCTAATTTCATATTTCTTCATTTGGATATATTAGTCCTCATTGATCTGTTATGTTATTCCTCATCATTAAGATTCCTGAGAGGATCATTGCTACTATTTCTTCAGTATGGTAACTTCAGCCACAGAACTAACCCAATCACCAGATATTTTATTGCCCCAAGTAGTTCTTTCTGACAAAATTCAAAATAAATTTTAAGAAAAATATACATAGCTTTCCATCAGTGTGATTTCCTCTATAGCACCTAGAAAGGAGCATTCTTCTTCACCTCAAATACTTACGTATACTTTCATTAGTAACAAGCAGATGAACAGGAACCCTCATTTACCCTCCGTGGTTCTTTTTCATAATTATGCTAGTATATTTTAAAATTCAAAAATTACAATTAAAAAAATAATTTCCTTTCAATTAAATATCAATGTTGATTCAAAAGACTGACCATTTTTCCAACCCATTAACTTAATAGGGATGACAGAAGAAATGACAGTAGATTTTTAGACCTTTCTTTTTGTCTATTTTTGTTATGATGTGCTTCAGATTCCCTGACTCAAAGATCTGTGACAATTTCTGTTAATAGAGCTAATACTGGTGTACTGTACTGAAATGAAATATTCATCAGACATTTCTATACTGCTGTTGGCTTTTTCTTAACATGTGTGGGAAATCTGAAGAAAAAATTAATAATTTTATTAAATTAATTTCAGTTATTCAGAAAAAAGTTTACTTAGTGTCTGTGTGGAAAGTCAAATGAAGAAGGCGGCACCACTAACACATCGTCTTGGAAAGAAGATTTTGATTTTCTTTTGTGATTGTGGAGGGAACGGAAAGTCTTGAAACAAAAATGTTAAACAAGTCAAAAACCTGTGAAAGATTTTTAGCTCTCAGTTTTCTTGTGTATCTATTCACCAGAAATTTTATAGCCAGTGTTTATTATAAAAGATGCTTTGAGAAAATACTGTTGGGGCATTTTTAGTCCTAAAATCCATTAACAATTGTGTAGTTTGAGCTTTCCTTCGGTGTCAGACAACCTGTCCATTGGCTTGAAATAAAAGTAAACTACCTATTATTACTATTTAGCTTGTAAATGTTAGCTAACAAAGGACAGTATAAAGTACATTGAGTGCCAGATTCTGTTTCTCATGTTATGTTCCCAAGTTGGCAGAATCACTCTCTTTTTTTGCCCAGCACCAAATGGAAAGCCACCGGAGGACAGTCGTTTACACATAACATACATATTCTTAGTCACATATGTATGTACATACATATATACTTTCATATTCAACTGAAGTGTGGTTTTGTATGGAATAAAAAACTTCAGACTAAGTTAGAAACTGCTATTGGTAACAGCCAAGATGATAGCAGAAAAATAACAGATGAAGAAGAAAGTCCAGGCTAAAAAGGTGTTTAGGAAATTTTTTTAATTGTACTGTAACGTAGGTGTTGACAGAAACTAAACATTTTTCTGACCACTAATTGAAGGTCTCACTAGATCGCTAAAACCCAAATCCTATTTCTTCATTACTGTCTTATAAATGTCAAAGTGTAATAACGTCTGACAAAACTTTAGTGTAGCTTGGCTGCAAAATTAATTATCATTCCACTGGACTTAAATCAGCTTCAGTGTAGATGGGCTGACTTGCAGAGCTGAAACTAAAAGGTTTACAATATAACATTCTCGTTAGCAGACAAGTGTTCTTGAGCCTGCACGTAATGCCAGCAAACAAAATGTGGTCTGAGATGTGAAGACGGATGCACTCTCCCTGAAGAAAGCTAGAATGATTAGCGTCCATAAGAGTATCAGTCTAGAGTAATTAGTTGATGATAAACGAATGAGGTTTGTTTACAAAGGCTGCATTTTGAAGGCTGAACACTGTATGAAGAGTAACAGAAAAGGCGGTGGAAATAGTTTATTGAATGGAAATTTGTTGTCTTTTTTCTTGCTGCTGACAACTCTAAAAATTATGTTTTTACTTCCTGTGCATTGTCTATGTCTTTGTCTTTGACTAGGCAGCATGGCTACAAAATTATGACCTCAAGAAGGCATTCTCTGAACTTGTCAGAATGCTGTTTCTTTTAGTGACAGTGCCCCCATCTCTCAAAACTAAGGCATCTCACATAATCAGCTAAATGAATAGTGACAGCTAACATTTTGTATTTAAACTCCTGTCAGTGTTTAAACATAAAAAGCTTGATGCAAAATAAATCAAACACCAGTGATATGCAAGTGAAACATTTTGTTAAAACAGTCTCTGACATAGTTGGGTTTAAATCTGATCCCCTTTTAGCTTATAAAATGCTATATACTTTAAATGAATTTGAGAAATCTAGAGGTTAAAATTGAATTGCTAATCTGGGTTGGATATAATTGAAGTTACCACTTGCATTCATAACCTTAAAAGCTTCGTTAAAGACAATTGTGCATTAAATAAATTGGAAGGACCCTTTCCTACTTTTCGTCTTTCTGAAATGCTTTCTTAATTGTTTTTAGAAAGAATTTGACTGTCTATTTACATTTTTTTCTAGTCCACACTACCTACCTAGCACACAGATTCAATGCAGTTTTGAAAGAACATCAGTCGACCACATCATTTATTCCATTTTGAAAACAAAAATCAATATACCTATAAAGTGACCCATAAATTAGAACTGGCTCACACAATGTTTGTTCAGCGCTGCCTTTCTGAAGGCACCCTTTGCATTTTTTCTTCACCTCTCTGTTTGAACTGCAGTCTCAGTAAGAGGCTCATTAGGGGACATTAGGGACTGGAGCTAACCAGAATTCCAGAGCTTGCTTTGCTCTTATTAATGCATAGTAGAGTAGAATGCATTTAAATATTTCATAGACATTCAGTAATTTGTGTGTAATCGCCTTGTTAGCAGAACAGTGGAAGGAGAACAGGCCTGTGAAATGGTGTTAGTGATTGCATGGGTAATTTACAGACCTTTGCCATCAGAAAGAGTATTATTGTTGGCTAGTATGAAGCTGTGAAATAGAACTACCAATAAGTAAAAAAAAGAAACTTAATAAAGGTTTTGTAACAAGCATCTTCAGGGATAACAACCCTACTTGGTCCTTTTGAAACAGCTATAATTTATGACATAGGCAATATATCAAATGCATAAGATAGTATTATGGAGCATTCATATGAAAAGGGTATTTGCAACATTAGTTCCAACTTCCTGCAAGGGACATGATTAAATGATTAATGAAATGTCCCTTTGCATATGCATTTTGAAACAGCAATTAGGCACTGACTGAGAAAATCCACCAATCCTCTCATTTTTCAGTATTATCTCATTCTTGATTTATAAATCATAGAGAATTTTTGAACAGCAATATGTAGTACCTGAGATAGTTATAAAAACATAAAAGAGAATAATTTGGGCACAAAACAGTCATAAATACGTAAATTCATAATTTAATGTTAATATTCAGCCTATTTATTTAGTCTTATTGCATTGTATTTATATCCCACACTATTTCTGTACTTTGATTGGCATCATTAAGTAGGGGGAACGAAGAAGCACTATTATTTTACATATCACTGGTAAACAATAGTGAGGAAAGGAGAAGGGAGATGTGGCAGAGGTATGTATGTGTTTTTCAAGTTCTCAGTAATCCACTGGAGGCTGTTCTATAAATGATCATTGAAGGGCTGCAAGCTAGCCTATAATTACAGGAAAGAAAGTGGCAGCTCTGGCATTTCATAACTATGTGTCCTCGAAAAGTGCTTTGTGAGTTTGTCACCAATGATAATTTAGATAGAGGCTCATTACTGAACATCACAACACTTTAAAAACCTTTCGCCTTCATACAGGAGAATAAAGGACTATTTTAATGGCAAGGTTCTTTTGTGTTCCACTGAAAAATTCAATCAAGACAAAACCTCATTGACTATTATTGTAGTCTACAGTCTCTATTCTAATAAAAGCTGCATAGATAAATTGAATAGGTCTCTAAGACCCAAGTGTATAATGCAAACATTTTGTACTTTTTTTAGTTCTTTAAATATAGGACAATAATTATCACTAAGCAGTAAACAACTATAAAAAACCTTTTTTTAAAAGTGATTTCATGCAAAATAAACAAGTTAGACTGAATGTTATCTTTTCTTGCGAAGCTGTATATTCTACTTATCTTGCTCCATCTACACCCTCCTCAGTGTGTATAGCTGAAGCATTTTTTAAAATATTCATCATTTAGACTGATTGTGGAATAAATATATGTATGTTCCCCAAGAGTTCATGGTGAAAAAAACCTTAAGAAAATACAACAATATTAAACCTTAAGAATATAACTACCATTGTAGTACTGATAGAAAGTTGTCTCATTGCTCATTAAAATTTGGGGGAAAAAAACCTGAAAAACAATTTTAAATGTCCCATTAATTAGGAATTAGCGACACTTTACATCATAAGCTAACCTCTGGTTTACTCTAACATGCCATGCCTCCTTTCAGAAAACGTGATGAATTTTAGTTCTCATTCTAGTTAGATTCCTAAGGAACTGAACGGAGCAGAGCATAGGGCAGGCAGGTACTGTGGAAGTGCCTCTCCTGCACTCTAACCACACACCTCAAACTTGACCTGATCCACCTCGCTATTTTAGTGCACAGTTTCCCTTCAACCAGGAATGACAATTGTGCCAAGATGCATGGAGGTTTTGTTGTTATGATCAGTGAGGAGGTACTATAGTGAACTGATTTAATTTTTTCAGGGCAGGGGCAGAACAGAAAAAAGGTTTCTGATTGCTGAACCTGGATCTACTAACAAATAAACTTATTTATAAATTAGCTCTTTCTCAGAGACACCATTTTAATTGCTCACATGTGCTACATATATGTCTGTTTATATAATTTTTTCTGCTTCATTATTAATTTTAAGAAATATAGGTAATAATTTGAATGGGCACAAAAACACATTTGTTGAGTTCAGTATACTTAAGGCTATACTAAACTTTTTAGGCTATTACATCATTCTAAATGATACTTTAGCCCGAATGGCTAAATATATAAATTTTTATTTAATTTTGTGAATATTCTGTTCAATGTTTCATTTATAATCATTAATAAGAACATTTATTAAATTGCTGCCTTAGTTTGCCCATTGGTGAAATAGACACACCAAATGATATTAAATTAATTGATAATTTTTTTTAATTTTAGGAGGCAGCAAATAAATTATAAATGACAAAGTACAAATTATTGGATATTTTTATGTTCATTGGAGATGCTGCTGTACTAAATTACTTTTGGTGTACTACCATATCACTCATTCAAGAGATCTTTTTAAACATTATGTAATAATAATAAATAATAATAATAGACTAATACATAATCCAGATCAGAGTATGATAATGAGAATGGCTAGTCTTTCACCACTTTTATATACGATTAGGATAGATGTCTCCCAAATCGGACACTAGACATGCAATGTCAATCTTTTGTTTCTGATTATCAGAATCTTTAATGTACTTTATTTATTAGTAACAGCAAGTGATCATTCTTCATAAGTATTGATGTTTCCATAGGATGATAATTTGCCATCTTTACATAATTCACACCATATCCTAGTGAAATAAGAGGTCGCTCACTAAATAACATCATAGGAACCACAAACTGTTTTAACAGAAATGGAAAAGAGAATTGCCTTTGTTCTCTTTAGAATTACTTTTGGTTCATATATTTATAAGGTGCCCTTTAAAAAATGACATGAGTGTATGAAATACATCTAGTGATTTCTGTTATGCTATAAATGGTTTGGGGAAAATATTTTTTTGTAATAACTGGGAAGCTTAGAAACAATGACATTTCCTGCTATCTGAAGGGTCTCTTTATACTACATAAATAGTCTTCACTAAACACGTAAGCATATTTAACTTTTGCTGTACAATTTCAAGCTGTTCTTTTTTCCCACTGTGAAGGCACATGTCACTTCAGGATAATGCCTTTTAAGGGGAGCGTGTACCACTGAGATAGACGTTGCGTAACGTTTTGTTTTGTGTTTGTTTAGGCACCTTAACAATGAGCATGCGCTGGACGACCGAAGCACTGCCCAGTGTCGAGTGCAAATGCAGGTGGTGCAACAGTTAGAAATCCAGGTTTGTCCCATGCTCACCTAATGGACTCCACTCTCAGGTTCTGGTGGGTTAACCCGGGTACTGGGTGGATTCCGAGTCTTTTAACACCATGCCAAACAGAAAGACATGGACTTTTAGATTGTAATGACCAATGATTGATAACTCGGGGTGGATTGCTGTAGTTTAATGTACTTATTACTTAGACTTATATAACCATTAGACTACATCATATGCATTTGGATATCCGGAAAGGGTCAAATCTAAGATTTCCGTAATAGAGGTTACACCAGATCCCCCCAACTGGATATGATTTTTATTGCAAAGATAGTTTTTACATAAGCTAATTTTGATTTTTTCCATTGGATTGTATAGTATAGCAATAAGTCTTTACAGCATCATGCCTGTAATATAATACCCTGAGAAATCCCTGTTTCTTTTCTATCTCTGGTGTATTTTTAATTAAAGAACTTAAAAAAAAATGTAAGACTTGTCTTTACTGGAGTAATGGCCAATCATTTATAATATCACAGATGGTAATACATGTATCAAATGCTGCTAATTTTAAGTTAAAAAAACATTTCAGTTAATATCGAAACAGAATTTGGCCAAAAATAAATAGAACTCATAAAACTGATCCGAAAACAATTATGTCACCATACGTATCATTGTTATAACATTCTTGTTATGTTTTAACTAAACCTTTAAGGCTTCCTCTAATATTTCATCTTAAAGGTTATTTTTTTCTCAATCAAACCAATATTTTGTTTCATTTAATTAAACATACCATTTATTTTTCGTCACACTTTGCAACATCTTGATTTGTTTTAAATCTATCAAGTTGTAGCCTTTTTTCAGGGAGCTGCTAAAAATATTTTATTTTGGCTGGTGAAATAAGCAAGAACACATAAAAAGCATCCTTACTGAAGTGTTTTAAAGATCTTTTTGTAAACCTGTTTACCATGTGTAAAAAAGGTAGAGTCAAACAAGAACCCAGCTGATGATGATCAAGTCTGCAGGGTGACCAATTACGCCTTAGTCCTGTGTGTGCTGTGTCTGACTGATGGAACAGTAAGGTCCGTCCTTGTAATGAGACCCAGTGCAAGTGCAGATGCCGAGTCTGTGGTAGAGTTCAGCGTTTCACACTGCCTGGTCTCTGTCACTCTATTGAATTAGATTGATGATGGCAGATTGCAGGGGGCACTAACTGGACCTCAGTGGGGATGCATGAAGTGTGTAGACAATCCTGGCAGGCCCTCCGCTTTGAGAACCCTTCACCCCGTCACAGCTGTTGGCACTAGTCCATGGCTAACAGTGTCCACAGGATTTTAAAGAGATACCATGGGCCTTCTAATTTATGGTTTCAGTAACTTGTTACTGTCCAGGCAACTGTGACCTCAATTCTCTTATTGACAAAAAGATGAAGTGTTATTTGTTTTGTCTGACCTTTTAACATAAGGAAAGCTTTAACATAAGGAAAGTTTCCCCACCCCCCCTCCATCGCTAAAGTTGCATTTCCTCCCAGATGTTCCTACTGACACAGACTTTTATATGCAGGAATCATTACTCTGAGACAAGCTCAATGATAAGATGTATCACTGCCATAAAATGGCTGTATCAGTCATTTCAAAAATGCTTCTGATCTCACGCTTTCTTAACAGCTTTCTAAAGAACGGGAACGTCTTCAAGCAATGATGACCCACTTGCACATGCGACCCTCAGAGCCCAAACCATCCCCCAAACCCGTAAGTGCAGATTGCTTTATAAACAGCAAGTAGCTCTCCCCACATAACCGACTACGAAAATGAACAATTTAGTGACAGTTAGAAAACAACGAGTGTGATGAAAAATATGGCAATAAAATGAAAGGAAAATGCAATTGCTTGTCAAATTGTATGTTTCTTTTAAAGTAATGCTATCTTTTACAAAATCTATCCAATCTACACCATGGGTGACACTAAACAAACTACACCTATCAGTGCACAAATCACCGCCTTGAGGCTGAAGCTAGAGAGAATCTTTCGGTGATAGGTTTGCAGATACTTAAAGGAAACCCACTTTGAGCAACCTGAAAAACAGTAACAGTACAAATCCCAAACAGAAAGGTATGTGGTATGCCAAAGAGGACACAGATTAATCATAAGACACATATAAATAGATTTTTTAATCAAACATTTTGTCAAAAATGTCATAGTATTTTTAGTCAATTTTCTCCTGCTCTTGTGGTTGTTATTTCAGTTAAGGTGTATTTCACATATTGATATAGTTTACCAGCTAGTACACATAGTGTTAATTTAGAGAGCTTGTGACAAAGGAAAATGGGTGATCGTAGGAAATAGTAAGTGCAGGTTCCCTCAAAAACATGAGATTGAAACACAACCTGATAATAAATACAGTCAGACACACAGACTGGTGAAAAGAATATACTTCATCTCACTCACCTAATGTTTACGCAGAAACTTAGACAATTAACCAAGTAACTAGTTTAATGAAAGTTTGCGGGTATACTTTTTAGAAAGTCTCCTGTGTAGCCTGATGATGAGTGAATGCCAGCTTTGCCTCTCCCTCCATCTCTTTAAGTAAAACAAACAGAGTCTTTTGGTTTTGTTGTAGAGGAGGAGATAAAGACGGACCATATTGTCTGAGTTTTCTCCTAGTGTCTCTGATATCACTGTTCGGTTAATATTATTTAAAACTTACACTTTTGCATAAAGAATATATTTAAACACTGCTAAAGTATTTCCTCCAAGAGCTTAGAGTTTTCCCTTTGTGCTACATTTAAGTGTAAGGTACTATAAACACACTTTTAATAGGAAGAAAAGAGAAATGTATTTTCTTGAATCTTACATATTACTTTTTAAACTCTGGAATGTCTAAATTTTTAATTAAAAAATAAACTTTTGAGACTCTTTTTGATCATGTGTTTATGACTTTTTTCAGGAAGATTTTTTTTCCCCTCATTGCTTCTATAGAATAATGTAGATAATCACAAGCCAGAATAATTGTCTCATAAATCCATCAGGAATCTGCAGCTTGTTCTTTTCCAATTAATTATTCAATCAGTAAATTTTTTAAAACTCCAGCAGCATGGTTACATCTACACTAATAAAGAATTTTCAGCCTATAATCCAAAACAGAACCTGAATGAATAATGTAATTGAAGTATTACATTACATAAACCACACATGAAAGAATTGCTAATTGCGTTTGATGGTGGGCAATTAATACAGAATCTTAGATGAGCGATTTAAAATGAAACCACAGTTTAAAGTTCCCTTTGGAATCGGCGATATCTGAAGTGGGGAACTGCACTCCTGGCCTCAAACTGGTTTGAAAGAAAAGTGGTCAATCCTCACACCCCTCAAAAAACCCTAAAATTTATACACTGTGCAAAAGGAGCTTCAAAATTGATATGATAGTAGAGATTTATGGTCTCATGTGCAGTGGCTCAGTGGAGACGGCCCACACATTTGATAAATATTAATAGCATGAATTTATTACCAGGGAGAAATGGGCTCTGTTGGTTCATCACTGCACCCTTAGCAGCTATCAGTACATGAACACAAGCTGCAACCGCGCTGTCTATTATATGACCCCATTTACTCTCTGAATGGTACTTCATTAAACGGTACCTTTTGGCCATGCTATGGATGGATGAAAATCAAAGTTATCGAGGCTGCGAGTCCTGAATAATGAGTTTCACCCAACCTTGACTATATTCAGATGAGCCGATGTGGCTAAGTGTTCATCTGGCTTTTACATGCTTCCCTTTAGTTAATAATAAATTCTATTTTACCCGTTTGTGATTGCACGCCCACAAACATGGGATGCTTATTATTGCAGGCTGGCAGGATAAGTTACCGTAACATTGTAAACATGAGTAGTTTGCATAGAGAAAGATGTAGATCTCCTGTTTTGAAAACTTTTACCGTGTTCACCATACGTACAGTGTCCTGTCAAGTAGTCAGGGTAGAGCTTTCATTGATTTGCAATGTTGCATTTTTCTGGCTTCTGAATGTGCCCTTTCATGCTGGTTTACGATTTCAGAAAGTGAATTTGTAACCATTCAGCTGAGTTGTTTTTGTTTTTGTTTTTGTTTGAGTATGGGGAAGTGATTTGGTTTTCTTTCTTCTTTTTATAATTTTAACATGCAGTACACAATGCTAACGATATGGTCTAAATATAACGGTACTGATTATCCATCCTGCTGTTGATCTTTTTAATATCATCTGCAGCATCGCACACACAGATGCACGTGCGTCCTCCTGCATTTCTCAGGCTGTGCAGAGGTGCTTCTGTGCATCCTGGGCAAGCTTACACCAGTGGCTTTGTAAACGTATTAAATGCAGCATTTAGAAGCATTATCTCAGCTTTTATTTATGTACGTAACAAAGAATTCCCAGCCCCGTCTGCTGGCTTAGAGTGCGAACAGAGTAACAGTTTGTGGTTTATTGGGAACAGATGCACTTGGGGATGCCTTCAGGGTGCCAGTCGTTATTATTAGACTGCTCATGTGCTTCTCCTGGCTGCTGCCCAAGAAAGAACAATTAGCTGGCATATGTTAATTTTTGTTTCCCTAACAAATCTCTCTACTGACTAAATGTGTAAAACAAATCCACAAAGAAAGATCAATCAATGCTGTACACATCATTTTCTCCCCATTAAAAAAAGGTTTATCTTAAGAAGTGTATTTGGGATTTGAAAAGGCAGGTGTTCCTAAATTATATACAAAAGCTGAATATTCTCTATTTAGCCACTCAGGCAGTTACTTCCTATAGAAGCAGAACAATTAAAACTAGCTTTCTTGCTGTACAAAATGAAAGGTCCATAGATTACATCTCTTCTGCATACCATTTAACTATGTGGCAGAAATCTTTTTATGTGCTGCCCTGCGTAACCATTTTGCTAATTGGATGCTATTTATGACAAAAGATGTGTGGTAAATATGACAGAGGTGAGATGAGTTTTCTGATAATGATGAACAGGGCCTTTCTGAGGGGAGGAATGAGGGGCACACTGGTAAACAGCTCGCATACATTCTCACCTTTTTCCTTTTTTCTACCCTGACACCCACTTTCCAGGGTACATCAGCATTAAGTGACACTGTAATCATAAATTGAAAATGATACTTCCAGAGGAATTGGCAAACTTGACATTTCATTATATTTGTTAACACATGCCACAAATGATTGTTAGTGAGGAAATTCCATTTCCCTCTCTCCATCTCCAATCAGATTTAATTTGAAAATTTTCAGCCTCCTCCGGCTAATTTGCAATTAAGACAATTTTGTTTGAATATGTAGTAATGTCATTACCATTCCACCAAATTAGCAAGGAGACTAAAGGTCAGTGTAAAATTTTCCAGCTGGCTGGAGCCTCTCAGCTGAGATTTGGGACTCTGGAAAAAAAAAGTCTGGCAGCAACAGAATAGCAACTTACTTTAAGTCCTGTTGGTTGAAAACATTGCATCCTTGGTTATTGCTGGTTATCGTTGCTGCAGTGGGGGCCACACCTGTTTAACAACAGGGGCAGTCAGTAATCAGCAGCTGGCTTGTATTTAAGGAACTCCTCTCCCACTGAAGTCTGGTAGGACAAGAAGGAGTTAGTCCTAAGTAACATTGCTGTAGATTATTAGATAACCTCTAACAGCATCCTCTAATTAGAGTTCTTATGATACAATTTCATCCTGTAATTAGCTGAGATTGGCTGCTTCCTTTTGCAGCTTATTAGCGGCAACACAGCTGTAGAAGTGAATCCACTCTCATTTGTCAAACCTTTTTAAGTCTTTTTCTCTTGTCTCTACCTTTTTCCTGCCCTTCTCTTGGGCCTTTGCAGCTAAATCTGGTGTCTAGTGTCACCATGTCGAAGACCATGTTGGAGACATCCCCACAGAGCTTACCTCAAACCCCTACCACACCAACGGCCCCAGTCACCCCGCTCACCCAGGGAGCCTCAGTAATCACCCCAGCCAGTGTGCCCAATGTGGGAGCCATACGAAGGCGACATTCAGACAAATACAACATTCCCATGTCATCAGGTAGGCTATGAACGCTCAGCAGAGCTCTTTTTCTTTGGGAGAGGAAAACTGGAGCTGGAGCAGCTTACAGGAGCCATTCCCCAGTCCTGATTTAGCGAGTGGTAACGGTTTCATTCCTGGTGCACGCGGATGGGGCGATTCCCTAAGCACTGGGTGATGAACTGTTCGGAATGGTTGTTCAGGGAGGAAAGCTCTCCTCAGTAGAGACGGCGCGAGATGTGCTGTCTGGATAGCCCATATCATCGCCTCGATTCCACGAGATCCTTTGATCTCCATGGGAAGACGTTTGGGATCCAGCCCCTGTAAGCAACGCTATGGGTGAAGAGCCTTTAAAAGGACCTAGGAAGCGCCGCGCTTTCCGCGAGGCAGAGCGTGTGCTGCCCACGTGGGGTCCTGCACAGCCCCTAACGCCTGCTCGCCACTTTGCCTAAGATGCCACAAGAGGCGAAGTTTGCATGGGACCCACATTTACTTCCTGTCCCTTTCGCACCCTGCTCCTTTCTCTCCCGCCCCCACCCACACCCAGGCACCTGGGTGATCCTAGTCCCACACTAACTTGGTTGCCTAGAGCCCCCCGTTCTACCAAAAGTGAAGTTATTTTCAACATGGGCACTTGTGAGTGTTTTGTTTCCTTTGTTAGAGGCCCACAGGTGCCGAGGGAGAAACCTGCGGTTCTTTAGGCAGTATTAGATGAGAAAAGCGAAATTATGGCAGGGGGGCAAAAGTCCATGTAAGAACATGCCTGAACCGCCCGCTTAAGAGGACCCGGCTGTTGGAAAAATTCTCAGGCCAGCTGGTCACACGTCCGGAAAGTCCTGCAAACAACCAGGGACGCTTCATTTGCACTTCACGTCAGAAATGGCCTTTTCCATATAATTCAATTCCACTGTCATGCTTTGTGCTTTCAGTAGTCAGTGGCTTTCTCACTGAATCACTTCCCCAATACTAGGGGAAAATATGAAAAATCAATTATGTAGAATGTGAATTATTAGAATTAACACCTAGTTTTTATTTTTGTAGAGATTGCCCCAAACTACGAATTTTATAAAAATGCAGATGTCA